ACACCTCTGACATGTTCCTCAAAAGTTCGGTTCCAGCCACTTAAAAAGTCGATTCCTCGTAAATTGGTTTATAACCTGATCCAGAAATTCATAAACGCATACGTCTTTCATGATTTCCCGGAGGGCAACGGACAAAATTCGAGGCGAACCAAAACTAGCACTCGGTAGCTTGCTCGAGAATACAGCACTCCTCAGGGCACCGTTCAACGCGATCGTTTTCCCTGATTCTTATCTTATTTCTTTGCATTTAGCCACTGTCATTATCGCCTTTATATTGCCCGTCTCCATTTCGGTCACTTCTAATTAACCATACAACACTGACAATTACCTGCATGTCTGAGTTTTATGGGAAAACTTAAGGTCCTATCGATCCACGTTGCAATGATGTAGTACCTTGCTGATTACGATAAACAATCCGGCAATTGATGTTACCGATCACGATCGAAATAAAAAGTCATTGACTCAGTGTCAAAGCGTTCAACCGCGAAACGCTCAATGGCCAAAGAATCTAAACTCTTATCCCAGATTAACTGAACCTGGGTTCAAGCATGGCCGACTGACGGCTTGAATTGGCTAACTCAGTTTCCTTTATCTTTTTCGATACTTCCTTCATTGCCTATATTATTGTTCGGTATGGGAATGTTTTAATGGTGTCCCAAAACACAACGGGACCAGCATGTCCCGTCACCTGATCGGCGAATGCTCTTTAAATTGATAGCTGGTAATAGCGTTTTCTTAGAATCACCCACTTTCGTAGGCCTCGGTTACAATATTGGGGTTTGTAATATTAGCAGACGACATCTGTTAGTATTGTTATAATCTTATTCTGGTGCCAAACAGGTCAAATTTTCTATACTTAGCTTAGAGACTGTGCACACTTAAAGTATTCAGCATCACACCGATCTGAACAGTTGTGGCCTTTGGTTCTCCGGGAACTGAAACTTGAGCTATGTGAAGACTATTCCGACTCTTCACAGGCCGCTGTTAGGCATAATTACTTAGATTGCCGAATTTTTAAATCACATTTTGCGCGATCGAAGTTGTTCAGGTCTTGTCGCCAGTGAGGTTCCATAAAAATATGCACGTGTGCCCCGTCGCTTGCTACTCTTAAACTGTCCTTATCCACACAATTGATCTTTTGGCCTCGCGCTCTCCAGTCTTATACTTTCTCCAAATGCATTACAGCATCAGTATTTCACGAAATTCCGTCAAGTATATTAATGTCATTTTAATGATATAAGTGATAGTGTGTGGCGATATCTTTTAGTCGCATACGTTCTTATGCTAGCCCGTGGTTCATGAATTGATCCTTTGTTACTCCTAGTTCGCGAGTGCGCATCCCGAGTCAAAGTTCCTGTGTCCGTGAAAATACGCATCTTTCCTGACGTCGACCGAACTGTTGCTTACGCGAAGATGCTGGAGGCGGCCGGAGCTGCTTTCATAGCCGTTCACGGAAGGACTCGGGAGCAAAATGGACAGAAAACTGGGCTGGCTGACTGGGAACAGATCAAGGCCGTCAAGTAGGAGGTTTTTTTGATGCTAACCTTTTTTGTTGCTTAGAAGTGCTGTCAGCATCCCAGTAATCGCAAATGGAAACATCTTATATTTTGAAGATATAGAGAAGTGTCTACGGGCCACTAAAGCCGACGCCGTGATGAGTGCTGGTAATTGTTTAACGATGTTGTCTATTTATTCATAAATTGTTTGATATTCTCTCTTAATCCG